CCTTCCTTCCTTCCTTCCTTCCTTCCTTCCTTCCTTCCTTCCTTCCTTCCTTCCCTTTCCTTCCCTTTCCTTCCTTCAAGCCCTGAATGGGCAGGGCCTGCCTGCAGAGAAAAGCATCTCCTTGCTGGTGGCTGGGGCTCACTTGAAGCCCTCAGCAGCTCCTGGGGCACATGTAGCTGTGTCAGGTATGGTTCAGGATGGAGAGGTGACACCATGTGTCCCCTGTCATTGCTGGGAGGCTGACAAGCTGTGCTGTCTCCCCTGCCCACTGCAACTCCTCTGAGCCTGGGCTTAGGACAACAGTTGGGAGAGGAGCTGCAGGATCAGTAGCCCCTCGATTGGAGCTTTCCAACAGCTCAAGAAAAAGAGCAGGGAAAGGATGTGCAGCAGTTGCCCATTTTCAGGGTGGCCCCAGGAACTGGACATTTACATGGACTCCTCTCTCACCCCCTTGGGCTGCATCAAGGGACATGGGCAGGGAGCACCCCGTGTGAGGGCTCTCCACTAGGGCTGTAGTTCAGCTCAGCCCAGCTCCCACCCAGAGAGCACAGGCCAGAAGGATGCAAATCCCATCTTGGGTTGCAGACTGGATTGGGGTCAGAGCTGATGGCAAAGCAACTAATCAGAGAATCTCAGACTGGTTTGGGTTGGAAGGGACCTTAAGGACCACCTTGTTCCACTCCCTGCCATGGGGAAGGACACCTTCCACTATCCCAGGTTGCTCCAAGCCCTGTCCAATCTGGTCTTGAACACTTCCAGGGATGAGACAGCTAAAGGGCAACTGCTCTCAGAGCAACCTCAGTCCTCACTCCCCCACAGGGAAGAACTTCTTCCCAATACTGGCTCCAAAGTGTTGTTGGGGAGCATTTCCCTTTGCATTCCTGCTGGTGGGGAGGCTTTGGACAGCCATGTGGGCTTTCCATGAGAGCTCTGGACTCCCCCTCAGCACTGGCTGTACCGGGTTAGGGCTGACCCGCGGGGCTCTGGGAGTCCAGAGCAGTGTCTGAGTCCTGGGGTAAGAACACGGGGTGGGACGGGCAGCGAGTCCATGGCTCGGCCATGCCCACAGCCTGTGCTGGCCCTCGCAAACCTTCGGCCTGTCAGGGATGGCCCAGCCGGGCCCTGGGCTGGGCCGTGCGTCCCCAGCACCCAAGGAACGGCTGCAGCACTCTAACACTGGACACGACGGGTACTCGGGGTTAAAGCGACACGGCCGGGCACTTTAGGACCCAGCCTTAGGCTCTCTAAAAAAGAGAAAGAGACAAGTTTTTAAATTCTCCATGTTAGAGAAAAGGCGGGTTTTTGTACGGTCTCCTCCTGCTGCGTGATCCGGAGGCACAGCTCGCCAGGCTCTAGCTACCCCCTGCAACAGGAACGTGGAGGTGAGCCAAAGCTTCCCGGAGCTGTGCTCGGCCCTGGCTGTGTCCCTGGCTACCCAGCACCTTGCTGCACCCAGGGCTGGCCACTGACCCTGGCTTGACCCATGCACACCCAGAGCGACCATTTCCTGACTCTGGGATGGCACGGGGGGAGCCGAGGTGAGGGCTCAGCCCCTCCTTGCTCTTGTCCCCGAGGGGCACCCGGCCCTGCCACAAACTCGCCCCAGGTGGCACCCAGTGGTGCTGGCACAACTGGCTGAGTTTGCAGCAGGCCGGGGTCCCCCAAAGCACAGGAGGCTGTGCAAGACCCCCCACGAAGTGCAGGGATGGCTCATGGCCACATGCTTCTGATTTTGCCACCAAGGTGTCCCCCCTCCTAGCACGCTGCCACCCAGTGTCCCAGTTTGCTCAGGCTCCCATAATAATTAGGGGAGCGAATTTAGCCCTTCTCCTGGGATGGTGATGGCTCTTTTCCTTCCTGAAAAACAGGAACGGGATGATTTTTGGGGCAAACAGGGGCTGACCCCACTGCTGCCTGGCTGCAGTTTGGAGCGGGGTGTTTTGCACAGCTCGTTCTGTTCCCCGAGCCCCCCACCCCCTCCCACTGAAAGGAGAGAAAAAGAAAAGAGCGTTTACGTACCATGGGACTTACCCCGAAATTGGAGGCGGCAAAGCGGTCGGAGGCGTTGGCGTTGCTGGAGGCGGTGGTGTGGGCGTAGTAGGCGTTGATGTTGGCCAGCAGGGTGCTCATCACCGCCGGCACCCCGGGGCACATGTACTTGGAGGAGAGGCAGGCAAAATGCCTATGGAGAGAGGTGGCAGCTGAGGGTTTAGGGCCATGGTAAAGGATTCAGGGTTTGGAGTGCATAAGTCATTGAATCGCAGAGTATCCCAAATTGGAAGGGATCCACAGGGATCAATGATGCCAGCCCCTGTCCCTGCACAGACCCCCCAACAATCCCACCCTGAGCATCCCTGAGAGCGCTGTCCAAACGCTCCTGGAGCTCTGGCAGCCTTGGGGCCGGGACCATTCCCTGGGGAGCCTGGGCAGTGCCCAGCACCCTCGGGGGGAAGAACCTTTCCCTGAGCTCCATGCCAAGCCCTGGCACAGCTCCAGCCCTTCCTGGGCCCCTGGCCCTGGCCCAGAGCAGAGCTCAGCCCCTGCCCCTCTGCCTCCCCTCGGGAGGAGCTGCAGCCCCCGAGGAGTCTCCCCTCAGTCTCCTCTGCTCCAGCTGAACGAGCCAAGTGCCCTCAGCTGCTCCTCAGAGCTTCCCCAGCTCCGTGTCCCTCCTCTGGACACTCTCCAACACCTCTGGGTCCTTCTGATCTTGTGGTGCCCAGACTGGACACAGGATTTGAGATGAGGCTGTGCCAGAGTGCGTTGGGAAGGGGAAGGATGGGTGCACAGGTTTGGGGGAACTCTGTACCCATGGCAGAGAGGTGAGCGCCAGTGGCAGCAGAAGAGGAAGATGGGGACAGTAACACTCCACCTAGGGGGAGGGTGCAGCCCCTCTGAACCAGATGGGGGCAGGGGACTCACGTCATGGCCTGGTAGATGGACTCCACTCCATAGCGCATGGCAAACTCATCCACGATCTCCTGTGCTGTCTCATCAAAATACACCTTCCACGCATCATCCCCCTTGGCATCGGGGATTTTCACCACCCCGTTGTTTTGTAAATCCGTCACAAAGTGGAACAGGTTCTGGAGGTACAAATGAGTCCCATCAGCTCCCCAGGGCTGGTGGTGGCAGGGTGGCATTGCTGGGGAGGGGGCCGTTCCCCCTGTGCCTGTCTAGGCTGCTCACCTCATGCAGGCAGGTGTACTGAACATGGTAGGGAGCCACCTTCTCCTCACCCTTGATCTCCACGCTGATGTGCAGTCGGATGGCTCCTGACACTGCTGACTTGTCTGTGCGCTTGTCTGTGGGTGCAGGGAGAGGGACAAGGTGTGAGCCTTCCCTGGGGCAACCCTGCTCACTGCCAGCCCCAAAGAGGGACACAATGCTCTGGCACAGGGCCAGAGGACACCCAGCACTGTGTGCAGCAAGGCTGCAGTGGGATTTGTCCACATTTCCAGCTGCTAGAGACATGGTCTTTCTGGGCCTCAGTTTCCCCTCTGTAGGGGGCTGGTGCTCTAGAACCTCCTGGGTAGAAGGTTCTGAAAATGACCCGGGAAAACACTTTATCCTGATGGCTTTTGACATTAAATGTTTCTAAGAGCAGACCCTGCTGCAATAGCCTTCAGACTATGGCTGGCAGCACTTCCCCTTGGAGCCCAGGGCAGGGGCAGGATGTGTCACCCCTGAGCCAGGGCAGGGTCCCAGGCTGTGCTGGTTACCGAGGTTGTACCAGACGTCCATCTCCCCGCTCAGGGTCCGGACCTCGATGATGGTCTGGCCCAGGAAGTCATCGGATTCCCTCTTGAAGCGCTGCTTGACACGGGACTTGATGTCATCGTCCTCGTCCCACACACGGACCTTGATGCGGTCAGAGGAGTTATGGCACTCGCTGGGGAGGTGACAAAGGGCAAGCCCCAGGATGAGCAGCGAAACTTTTCCAGCTACTCCCCATCACTGCTTCCCTAAATAACAGGGACCAGGACGAAGCAGGAACTGGGGAAGAGAGCAGATGGGGGGGCACCAACCCCCTCCGGGTGGGCTCTGTGCCACACCCAGGCAGCCTCGGCATAGTGTGGATCAGCCCCTGTAGTCGCATCCTCATAGCATAAAACAGAACCCCAACGGACCCCAGCACCTCAGTGGGGGCAGGACAAGGCCCAGCTGGCTCCCCCCACCCTACTGGGACATGGCAAGAACCAGCACAGCCTGGCACAACCATGAGTGGCCAGGGAGGGGAATGGGGAGACTGGGGGTCAACTTACAAATGGAAATTCTCCTCCCAGACTGGGTTGAGATTGCCGTAGATAGTTTTAGTCCTTTTTTTTGTCTTTCCAACCTGGACAGTGACATAGGGGTCACTGGAACCCGTCTTATCCTTTGCTTGCAGGCCCTGGGCACAGACCACTGCAGCACAGCATGGCAGAGGGAACAGAGAGAGAGAAGTCAGTGCCACAGCCACACGAAGATGCCCAAAACAAGCACAAGCTGTGTCCCCCCATGGGCTGAAGCTGCCTGGCAGAATGAGGGGTTGAGCAATGGGGACATTCTCATGGTCCCCAAGCCTGAAGGTGACAAGCTGCCTACCCGTGATGCTGATCTTGGCTGACCATTTGGAAGTGCCATCCAGGACACTCTGCTTGACCGCCTTCATCTGCTGTGTGTGCGTGGTCTTGTTGACCCCAAACACCTCCTGGATCAGCTCAAATATCTCGGGTTTGTTGCGCTCCCGGATCTTCATGCGGTCCTTGAGCACCATGATGATGTTCTGGGTGCGGTCCTCTGCTCCATGCTTGGAGCTCTTCTCCGCCGCCCCTGGGAGAGGACAGGCATGGGTGAGATGGGGTGGGGGGCTGGTAGTACCAGGAGAGAGAAAAGAGCTCTTGTAGGCTGGCATGGTGGGCTTGGGGACAAGAGGAAATGGCCTCAAGTTGCACCAGGGAAGGTTTGTGTTGGGTATTATAGGAAACTTCTTCCTCAAAAGTGTTGTCCAGCCCTGGCACAGGCTGCCCAGGTAGTGGTGGAGTGTGCAAAAAACATGTGGTTGTGGCACTTGAGGACATTGTTTAGCAGTGACCACAAGGGTGCTGAGTTGATGGTTGGACCTGATAATCTTAAAGGTCTTTTCCAGACTTAACAATTCCACGATTCCATGCATGAATTAATTCAAACCTGGAAGGATCTATCGCCTGCCCAGGATGAGTGTGCCCTGCCCACCACTTCTCCCATGCCCAAGTCAGGAGCAGAGCTCTCCTGGGCTGCTCCCTCCTCCCTCTCCAAGGTGAGAAGGGCCGAGGCTGTGGGTCCCAGGTCCTTACTCTGCAGGCAGTCAGCGTTGAGCAGATCCTGGCACTTCTCGTGGCACTTGACGCCGCACTCGGCACAGCGCATGCCCTGCCGGGCGATGCCCCACAGCAGCCCCTCACACTCGTAGCAGTAGGTGGGGGTGGTGGCCGTCCACACCTCGAAGTTGTGGGGCGTTGTGCAGGAGATGGGGTACACTAAGGCTTGCAGGGTCTTCTTGTAAACATGGTTTTTCTGTGCAGGGAGAGGGGAGAGAGGGGGAGAAATGCTGAAGCAGGGCAGAGGATGCACTTGGGGACATTGATTTAATGGTGGTGGTGCTGGGTTGACAGTGGGACTTGATATCTTCAAGGTCCTTTCCAACCCCAAAGATCCTATGATTCTATCCCCAGGTGCTGCCATGAGCATCCTGGATGCTAACACATAACCAGAGGATGCTGGTGGGGCACAGACTCTGCACCTCCATTGTTTGCCTGGTCCCTGAGGCTCAGATTCCCCCTCCCAATCATCCCCAACCCAGCCCACCCCAGCACCTACCAGCTCCTCATTGTTCAAGGTGCTCGAGGCCAGCGCGGACGTGATTCCCGCTTTCCTGGACTGGACCAGAGACTGTGGGAAAGAAATCGAGTTCCCAGATCCAGCAGACCATGACAGCTCCCTCCTACACCCCCAAGTGGCTGTGAAGCACCCAGTGTGGCTGTGAAGACCCTGATCCCAGACAGGGAAGGGTCCTGGCTGCATGGGGGGCAGTGGGGACAGCCCAGCCCCCATTGATGCCAGCACTGCTGTGCAGTGGGACTGGAACCAGTTCAGCAACCTATGACACTCCCACTTCAGCTCCAGTGGGGCAGAGCCTCTCACCACATGTCTGAGACCACTGGGGATATGGGGTGGGGGGCACTTACCATGGCCTGTGGGCAGCCAGGGCCAGCGAGGGGGTAATAAAAAGCCATTAGTGCAAAACTTCCCATGAGAGCCCCTTCCCTGCCAGAACCAGTGGGAATTGGGGCAACACCCCCTCATCCAGCACTGAGCAGGCCCTGGTGAGGGGGGACTGTGTCCCCAAGCCACAGCACTGGTTGCAGCCTGCAAATCCCAGCAGGGAAAGGCAGCAGCCCCCCCAAACCCCACACATTGCCCACTCCACCACCCCTCACCCCCAAAACACCAACACAGCACAGTGCAGAAGCATCAGCAGCTGCCCAAGAGGGCTGGGGTGGGGACACTAAGTTGGGGACAGCAAAGGGGAGGGGGGATTGGGGGAGGCAGGTTGAGAACAGGAGAGTGGCACCCCAGGGAGGGCAAAGAGTGGAGCTGACAAGGTTTTAAGAGAGGGGGAAGGAGGGGAAGGGCACCTAATTCTGAGGGACAAAGGTGTCTGGTTTCCAAAATTGCTGTCTCTTGTCATCAGGAGCGGGAGGGGACCAGCAGAGTGACCCTGTGAAACAGAGCCCAGGGTCTGAAAGGGACCCCATCATGGGGAGTCCATACATCGGGGGTCTCCAGACCCATACACTGGGACAGTGGGGACAGGAGCACAGGGTCTGGGCAACTTGGAAAAGCCACTGCCAGCCCTCCCTTGGTATGGGCATCTGTCTGTCCAGCACCAGTGTCATCCAAGCTGCAGGGACCTTACGGCAGCTGGGACAGGAAGGGAACAGGGACACTGCACCAGTAAAAAAATGGGAAACCAGATACAGCCCTGGGAAACCTTAGGCTGATGCTTGGGGTAGGGACCAGAGCTCCGTTAAAGAGAAGCACCCTCGGGTAGGGAGAGCCCAGCTCCCAACTGCAGGGAGGGCCAAGAGCCCCCCAGGCAGTGTGGGACACCCCCGCCCCCCTTTGGCAGGGCTGGGGGCACCAGGGCTGGCTGGCAGCCCCCAAGGGCGCTGTCTCTTTAACCCCTCGCACCGCGCTCACCAGATCGCTGACTAGAGGGAGAGATTTGCGTCCAGGCTTAATGTCGGGCATGCTGTTAATGCAGCGCAGAAACCTTACAGCCGCCCCCCTGCCGCAGGGAAGGCCCAGCCAGGCCACAGGAAAGAAAACAGAGAACACAAGCCATGTTAGAGGCAGCTGGGGAGCGGGGCACGGGCGGCGCGGTCCGGTGGGGCACAGCAGGAGCAAAGCTGGCAGCTATGGGGGTGCCTTGGGAGGAACCTCACCAAATCGCTAACTAGGGGGATGGGTTTTCGCTTGCGAATGTCCGGCATGCTGTCTATAATGATCAGCCCACCACCAGGCCTGCAAGAGAGAGGAGAGTCAGAGGGCAAGGGGAAACTGAGACAGGAAGGGGCCCCCTGTTGTTGCCCATGGTCACTCAGCACTTCAGAGAATCACGGAATGGTTTGGGTTGGAAGGGACCTTAAAGCCCATTTTGTTCCACACCCTGCTATGGGCAGGGACACCTTCCACTAGATCAGGTTGCCAACCTGGCCTTGGATACTTCCAGGGATGGGGCAGCCACAGCTGCTCTGAACAATCTGTGCTAGGGCTTCACCACCCTCACAGGAAAGGATTTCTTCTCAATATCTAGGATTTGATGAATATGACTGCAAAGCAACCCCTGTGTGGCCTGGGACCCACCCATGGGATCCCCATCCCCACAACCACCCCAGCCAGGGTAGGAATCACTGAACTAAAAACTGAGGGGGAAGGAAATTTTGGCAAAAACTGTGATTTTTCCCCACATGAAGATTAACAGTGAAACCCAGGAGAAAAACTGCCCATTTGGCTAAGTCAGCTTTGGCTTTGCAGTGTGAGGCTGGAGAGGTGGGGTTCCCTCTGGGACCCCGAAGGGGAGCAGAGCAGGTGAGCCTCAAGTTCTGCTGCAAGGGAACCCAAGGCAGGAATGGAACTTCACAGCCGTGTCAGAAAGAAATCCCTGGAGTGATCTGGGGGTTCTCAGGCAACCTACCAGGTTCTGCCCAGGTCCATGGCAGGGCTGTCCGCAAGGGCAAGACAGGACTGTCCAGCCTGTCCAGGTGAGAGACTCAGGATTCCCATGACCACTCCATAAGGGAAGCAGGAGTTGCCACCCCTCCTCATCCCCATCTCAACACACCTCCTCGCTCTCCCCTACAGCAGCAGCTCTTGGTCACAGAGCAATGTCATGTCTGCTGGCTGCTCCAAAAGCACTGACCAGTCCCAAAATTCAGATCCAAAAAATTGGTCTTCCTGCATGCCCACAGCTTGGCAAACTTCCCCACACAAGCCCACTGCTGAACTCATTAATCACTTCCTAATGAGGAGGGGGCTGAGATCCCAGGAGGAGAGTTTTCCCAGCTTCCCCTTGTACTCACCCGCCTTTGAACCACAGGGATTTTTCTCCATCACCTTCCCCGCGGGCCTGGAAAACAAGGGACAGTGTCAGGGCACAGCAGGAGCCACCAGTGTGGGGACAGCCCCCTCAGGGCAGTGAGTGCTCACAGCACTGGGAGAGCATGGAAGGATGAGCAGGGTGGACAGAGAAAAGTGTGTTCCAAAACCAAGGAGACTCCTCCCAGAAAAGAGCTGGTACTGGGATCAAATATCTTCAGAAGACCTGAGTGAGCAAATGGGTGGGCTTCAGCAAAGGGCCTGAGGCTGGCAAAGCAGGGGGGATGGCTACACTGTGCAAAAAGTCAGGGCTTGGGGGAGTGAAGAAGCATCATAACGGCTCAGCAGGTCCTCAGGACCCACAGCAGTTGGAAAGAAGAGCAGGGAAAAGGCAGAGCACATGGAAGAGGATGTGTGTGCAGAGATCATCCAGTAGTGCCACGTACCCCTGCAGGGAGGGGATTATTTTAGAGGAGAAGGGTAGAGAGAGACCATTGTCCCTCCTTCATGGGCAATCCCTGCACACACACACACACACACACACACAGGGAAGGCACACACATGGCTGGAGGTTCCAGGTGGCCATGCTTACCTGCAGACAGGCTACACCCCTTCCCTGCAGGAAGGGGAGACGCGGGTGCAAGGGCCATGGTGGTGGACAACTGAAAAGAGAAGCGGTGGGGAGGGGGATCGAGACCCCGGGGAGCGAATCCAGAGCCAAAACAAAAAGAAAAGATGGAGGATGGAGTCTAAAAACAAAACAAAATATTGTCAACTCAACAGAGGGGAGAAGGCAGGGGGCTCACTCCAGCACACACATGCAGCACACACAGGGGATCCTCAGCACTCCCAGCCCCTCCAGGGCGTCCCACTCGGTGGGAATGGGATTGTGGGCAACACTGTTGGTACCCCCAAGTCCGTGGATGTCCCTGGAAGCTGCCCAGCTATGGAAAGGAGCCGTGCTCCCAGCCCAGAGCCGTGGCAGGGGTCAGGGGGTCCTCACCTCCTGCAGCTGTATGCAGACCTTGTTGAAGGCTCTCAGCCAGTTGGCTTTGGCTCGTGCTTTGGGGTCCTGCACCTCCTCTTCTCCCAGCTCCCTGAAAGCACACACATCCCCTGTTACCTCCCAGCACAGCACCAGGGAGAGGAGAGGAGAGCAGCTCTCACACCCAGCAGGTCTGAGGCTGCGATCTGGGGATCCTGATGTGCCTTGAGACAGAGTAGCCATGGCAAAACTGCCTCTTGGTACCAGGAAGGACTTGAAAAGGCAGCAGGTCCTGCTGCAAAGGGCAGCACAATCAGGGCAGAGCCCTGGGGAGAAGCCAGAAGCTTCCCCAACCTCAGGAGACCCTGCCCTGGGCACCCAAGTGACACACAGGGGACAGCTGGTGACACAAGCATGTGAATTAAACGTCCTTTGCCCCCCATCTCCCCAGCACTATGTCCTCTGGCCACTTCCCACCACAGCTTCCTGGGGTAAAGAGCACCCAACACCCCAGTGGTTCCAAGTCCAGGGAAAAGTGTCTGCCTGGACATGCTGCGTGTTGTAGGGTTTTTTTTCCTCCTGTCCTACAAAATCAAAACAAGGAGGAAAAGAATATAAATCCTCCAAACATACCAGTCTCCTGGAGAGCCTGGTGTAATGCAACACTGGAGAGAGGAATCCAGAACTACTCTGGGAAGAAGGCATGGGTTGCTCAGGAGATGAACCTGCTCAGACCTGGGGGGCTTCGGGATCTTCTAATCCACAGTCCCTAGTGCTATTCTGGGATCACAAAAGCTAATTTGGGTTCATCATTTGAGGCCCTCAGCACTACTCTGGGAGTCCCAACACAGTCTGCGGTCTCCAGCGCTAATTCACAGTCCCCAAATCCTAAGCCCCCTGCCCAGTGGACACTGCAGGCAGACATGACCTGAGGCCCTTAGGTTCCTGCCAGGTCTTGGGCCTAAATATCCATTTTTTTAAAAAACAGCTCATTACGCATTGGTTTCAATTAGAGATTCCCCATTCCTGGTGTGTAATTTAAACTAAATAAAAGGCTGAAAAACCCCATCACAGTTCACCTTTGCACAGAGGAGTGACACTCACTGAAAATGGAAATGGTCAATAATGATATTTGAATAATCTGTCCCCAAGATACGAATTATTCACATGCTTCACCAGGAACCTAATCACCAATTAATTCACTTGTACAGCACAGGAGGCCATGGATGAGCTTTTACCAGGCCTAGGGAGAGGACTGACTTCTGTAAAGGAAATCTCCTCCTCTGACCAAGCTCCACCCAGGGTGCCAAGCTCCTGTGCCAGAGGAGAAGAATCAGCCCCGAGATCCCATTCCCCCAGCCCCATGTTTGTCCCAGGTTATAAATCTGCAGCCCTGTAGCCCCAGCAGGGCTTGAGCCATGCTTAGCACAGGGGGTGGCTGGGCCCTGGCAGTGTGCCTAGGGTGCTGGCTCTTGCCTGGGTGGCACAAGGTGGGCTTTCCCCACCTCAACGGCTCGGGCACCTGGAAAAGCTCCAGACACAGTCCCTGGTCCTGCGCCAAGTACCACAGCACCCCTGAGTCACCTCCAGAGCATCCTCAGTGCCTCCAGGCACAGTGCCATCCCTGGGACATGACAGCTCAGCTCCTCCTCCTACCTCTCAGCCGGTTTTGGGGGCTCAGTCTCCGGGGCTGCCTCTTGCACGGGAACTTCCTCCTCTGCCCGCTGGGCCTGGAGGGTCTCAGGGGCTTCCTGGGGGGCAGAGGTGTCCTTCTCCTCCTTCCTCTCCTCTTTCCTCTCCTCCTTCCTTTCCTGCTGCTGAGGCTTCTGCTGTGGGACCAGCTGGGGTTGCTGCTGCTGCTGCTGCTGCTGTTGCTGCTGCTGCTGCTGCTGCGGGACCTGTTGCTGCTGCTGCTGCTGCGGCAGGGGTTTCTGCGGTGGTGGGTATGTTTCATGCTCAGGGGGTTCATAGGTATCCTGCTCCCGCAGTTCCTCCTCCTCCTCCTCTTCCAGCTCCTCTTCCTTGGGATAGCCTTCCTCAGTCTCACTGTAGTCCTCAATGAACTCTTCCTCCTCCTCCTCCAGGTAGAGATCATCATCATCCTCCTCCTCCCAGCGCGGCGAGTCCTTGCGGTAGCTGACGGAGCTGTGGCAGGAGTGGTAGGAGTCCCCGTCCCTCTCGTCCAGCTCCGAGTCCCTCAGGCTCTCGTTCTCGAAGTCCTCGCTCAGCTGAGAGCTGCCCTGGCTCAGCTCGGCCGACGAGGCGTAGCGGCTGCTCCCTGTGGGGCTGAGGGGTGAGGGGACACAAGGACAGGGCTCCCGTGGGTCCGTGTCACCCCAGGCAGAGCCCCGGGGCCCTGCAGCAGGGGCGGGAGGATGCGCAGCTCCCATCGGGAGCATTGGGCTCCTCGTCCTGGGAGCCGAAGGCACAGAAATCCTGTCGGCTGGAACCAGCCCCCCAGCAGGGGCACTCTGACCTCCCTGCCTGTGCCTGGGCTGACAGTGGGGATGGGGGTGACAGTGCCTGTCTCCTAGGCTCGCCCCAGCCAGGGGTGGGGGCAGCAGCACCCCCAGCCAGATCCTGCCTCCTGCTGCTGGAGGCAGCAGACACCCTGTCCTGCCCCTGACACACAGATCTGTCACACAACCTCTATGCTGACGTCTCAGTGCTCCCCACAGCCCTCCCAGGCACCTCCACCCCAGGACACTCCCTCAACCCCCTCTCTCGTCTTAACACCATCCCTACCCAAGGGTCCCCTCTCTGCTCTTGCTGCCAGGCCAGACTCCTTCCCCTATCCCATCTGTCCCCCAGCCCTTCCAGCCCCTCCTCTCACAGCTGCCTGCACTGGGAGGCCCATGGGGGCCCTGTGTCCCAGGAGGCTGCCAGGGACAGGGCAGCCCCGTGGCTCCATGGGGACAGGCTGACAGAAGCAGACATGCAGACAGGACAGGAACATGCCGAGGAAGAGGCCGACACCACGTCTCCAGCACTGGCAGCCAGGGCTCAGGAGGTGTGTGAGGGGACAAAGATGAGGGGCTGGGCCAGGCAGAGCCCAGAGTGGCTGAGCCAGGCTGTGGGTAGCCAGGGGACACCACAGGGAAGAGAGTGCTGGGGTTCAGGCTGGCCCCAGCTGGGAGGGGTACTGGCATCATCCAGGTACCTTGGGAAGGAGCACTTGGGGCACAGGGATGCAGGAGACAGCTCATACCCGGAAACTCCACACTTCCCCATCCTGATCCTGGCCAGAGCTGGGAGAGTTGCTATTGGCACATTGCAAGATCCCAAATCACTGCATGAACCTTTTGTCCAGATAGGCACACCCTGGCAGGTGACCAGGAACAGGAGGGTGGCACTTGAGTCCCCGAGGGCCCAGTCCCACACCTGCTGGCATGACAAGGAACAGGCAGCAGCGCTGCCAGACAGTCACAGTGCCAACAAGTGGGACCAGGATGATGGGATGTCCCCCCATGAACTGGGATGCAGCAACAAGAGGGGTTGGGGGACCTGGAACATCCCAATGCTGTCCCTGTGCAAGGCCGATCCGGGGCGGGGAGGGTGGCACGAGGCCGCCCTTGCCAGGACTGGTGTTGGCCTCACCATGGCTGCAAGGACCGACCACAGCACTCTGCGACGGCACACGGCACACGGCACAGGTATGGACCCACCTATCCGATAGGTCTAGGGACCGCCTGCTCTCAAGGGAAGGCTGGCGGCTGGTCCGCCTGCTCGACTCAGAACCGGACTCAGCGTCGCTGCGTCCGTTTGCGGCAGAGTCTACGCTACCATAGCGTCTGCCAGGGGAGGAGAGGAACATGGTCAGCGAGGTCCCACCGCCACCCGCCACCCCCTGCTGCCGTGGGGACACTGGCAGGGAGGCTCTGTCCACCTGGACGGGGCTGGCACTTTGGGCTGGGCTCTGCCATGTCTGGGTCCCCAGTCACCCCACACTCCACTGGCCAGCTCCCAGCAGGGACAGCCAGGGGTGGGGGGCCCCAAACCCAGTAAGGACAGAGGAGGGCAGTGACCCAAAAGAGTTTGAAAACTTCCCAGTGAGAAGGAAAGGCTTGGATGGGGCCAGCACCACCCCACTCTTCCTCACCTCAGCATCCTTCCCTCTGTCACCCACCGCACTGGAAGCGCCATCCCTAGCGTCACCCTGGGGACCTGCTGGCCTCTGTCACCTGAGGGGGAGGTTGAGAGAGCCGGTCCCAGGGGGAGTTGGCTGTGGCCACACTACCTGATGGGAGCCTGGTCCGAGTAGTCCATCTCGTAGCTCTGCATGGAGTCAGTGTAGGAGTCTCGGGAGCTCTGCTGCTGGTGCCTCATAGGGTACTGGTGCACGGAGGCGTTGGGCTGAGACGTGGTGTAGTAGGGTGGGGGGATGCTGTTGCTGGTCTCGCTGCGGTAGTCACTGTCCCGGTCATCCACGGTACTGTCGGGGTCATCATCTGCAAGGGGCCAGGGGATGGGGATGAGTGGGGCAGAGGATGGCCCAAATCTGCCCCCCACGCTGCACAGACCCTTTAGTGCCACCACTGTGTCCCCACCGCTGTGGGACCATGCTGGGGAGGTGGACTCAGGGCAGGATGAGGGGCGAGCTGACATCAGTGTGTTATCAGCACAGGGAAGGTTTTGGGGGCATGAGGGGAAGGTGGAGGGGGAATTTGGGACATACAGAAGGGGGAAAAGGATGGGGGCAGGGACCGTCCCTCTGCCCCACCAATGTCCCACCACAGAGGCAAAGCCTGAGCTGCTCATTGCCACTGGGACACACCAAGGGCACAGAGTCCCATGGTGCCATGTCCCCACCATCCCAGGGGAAAGCCCTGCCCAGGACAGGGCACTTGGTGACACTGTCCTCACCCAGTACAGAGTCATGGCACAAGGCCACAGGCCAGACCCAAGCTCCAGGTCCTCTGAGCCCGGGGCCAGGCAAAGAGGGACGTGCTGGGGACCCACCGGCTGGGAGGAGAGGAATGGGCAGGATACTTACTCTGCTGTTCTCCCCAGCCAAAATAATTCCAGTTGCCTACAAAGAAATGGGCAGAGACAAGAAAGGAGGCAGTTGGCTGGGAGGAACCAATATCTCTCCAGAGGACACACTGGGTTGGGGACACTGCCCTGGGAACAGGATGGGGCACGGTGGCACTGGGACACTGCCTGGGCCTCAACTTGACAACACCGAGCTGGACTGGAGACAGTGCCTGGGGTGGGTATGGTGGCACTGACCCAGGCTGAGGACAATGTTAGGACAATGCCAGGCATGGTGGCACTGACAGGGGACAGGGCTTGGGGCTGGGCACAGGGGCATTGAACAATGCATGCAGCTGGGGTGGTTACAGAAGGGGGCACTGAGGCACGTGCTGGGATAAACTGAGCTGCCACTCCAAATGCCTCTGCAGGGCCCCCATCCAGCAGCCCCCCACATCAGCCAGCTGCCCCTTGTCCCAGAGGAACCGTCCTCATCAGCCCCACTGTTCCCATGCTCTGCTCCCCTCCACCCACAGGAAGGCTCACCCACTGTGGAGCTGGAAGACAGCAAAGAAACACCGGTAAACACAGGAAAGACAACAGGAATGGGGATAAGGGAAAGGTATGGGGTGAAGTTGAGCCCCACTTGGGTTGGGGTCCAATGCTCCAAAGCAGATGTGGAGCCCACCCCTTAAAATTCCTCGGTGTGGGAATGGGGAGAAAGGAGGATGTGGGGGTCCCACAGTGGGGCAGGGACAGGGCATCACTTACAGCACTGAGAGCCATGCACAGGCAGAGGCTTTTCCTGCTCCTCCTGGAAGGCATACTGGGGAGAGAGGGGCTGGTGAGGGCTCTTGCTGGCAGCACTGCCCCTGCCCCCTCACCCCAGGCCTGGCTGCACTCACATCATCCTGGTCCCGCATGGCATTGAGCTGCTCCAGTTTCTTGGCCCAGTACCTGGCCTCCTCCTCAGGGATATCTGTGAGGGCAAAGACCCCAGTTGGTGCACAGACCTCCCCCAAAACAGCCTTCAAGCTTTTGGGGCCACAGGATCAGACCCTCAGCCCCAGCCCCAAGGCTCATGAGCAGCCCTGGGGCTGAGGGTAAGGCAAACACAGCCTGGGTCTGGGGGCCGGGATGGGGCACCCACCCAGAGGCAGCTCAAAGCGCGTGTCAAGGAGGATGCGGTGGAAAGTCGGGTCCTTGGTGCCCGAAATCTCGTTGTCAGTCATGATGACCTGGGAGTCAAGTGTGAGCCATTCCCCAGGACCCTCCTGTTGGGTAGAAACGGGGTGAGGAGAGCTCCCAGAGCCCTCTTTCATGGCCCCGCAACTCCAGCACACAGGCAGGACGGGGAAGGCTCTGCCTGGCCCAAAGGACAGCTGGGGGTGGCACACGTCCCTTGGGCTCAGCAGGGAGATGCCTGTGCCTGCCTCCCTACCTCATTGGACTGCCTGATTGTCCGCAGGGGGATCCACACCGTGCCCACCATGGTGTCCCAGATCAGCCCCTTGTTCCACACCTCCACAGTCAGCCCCAAGTCCAGCCGATTGATCTCACTGGGGACAGGAAAGGTATCAGGTTACTCCCCATGAAGTAAACCCCCCTCAGGTCTCAGCAGCCTCCTGGGCCCATCCCAGCTTCTACCTGTCCCTTCAAACCCAGGACTCAGGTGAGCCCCCCAGATCTGGGGTCAGGGCAGTGGAGGACTCCCCATAATATTTATGGGGGCAAGGGGAAGGAGCAGGGATGGGGGAGCGAGGGGAATCCCCCGGACACTCACAACATGAAGTCCTGCTCCCAGGAGGGCAGGTTGCCCCGCACTGCTATGGTCGTGCTCTTGACATTTTGCACCTTCAGGGTCACATAGGTGTTAAATTTCTCTGCGGGAACAAACAGAGGGTGAAGGGACCCCCAGTGTGTCCCACTCCCCAACACTTCCCACTGCCACCCCCAGCACCTCAGCACCTCAGTCCCAGCAGGGATCCTACATCTGCCAGGGCTGGTAGGACGTGAGCTCCCCACTCTGTCCAGGGCACCCCCATTCGTGTGTGTGTGTCCCCAACTTGCCAAATAATGCCTCCAGAGCTAAGGGTCCCCTCAACCCCCTTCCCCAGCCCCTCCTCTGACCCTGCCACATCCAACCAGCCCAAGAGCCCCCCAGCCTCTCCCCTCAGGGGGGCAATCAGGTGGGATCTCACTTACCTTGGGGCCCATCATACTTGGCCTTTTTAACTGCGGGGACAAAGGGAGGGAAGAAAATCAGTGTGAGACCCTGGAGAAAGGCTGGGGATCCCCACCAGGGTGCCAAGCAGGTGGGAGGAGCCCAGTCCCGGTTGCCCCCACTCCTCCCCCAGCTGCCAGGTGGGAAAAGTGCTGGGACTCCCTATGCCAGCTGAGGGTGAGGGATCAGGTATGAGCTGGAGGTGGGCATCAGAGGGAAGAAAAGGCTCCCCTAAAAACCCTGCTGCTCTGGGACATCTTGCAACCCCAAATGACCAGCCTTCCTGTTTCCTCTGTTGAGGGGGCGTTACCAACCTCACCCGACACTTTCGATTTGAGATTTATTTGGAGAAACAGATGATGTTGCCACCCATATCCAGAGGAAAAACTCACTCGAGTCCCAGCTGGGTAGCACCAGCCCAGCAGGATCAGGGTTAAGGCTCTCCCAAGCCACTGGCCCAGATTTCCAGCAGGAAACCTGGTAGGTCGGGGGCTTGTAACCCTCCCTGCCCACAAACAGCCCCAGGGGTGGAGGAGACGCCCCACCAAAATCCTATACAGCCCCAAAACATCCCCATTGCATCCCAGCCCTGTCTCCCCGGTGGGGGCACTGCGGGGCTGGTTGCCATCCTGCCCATTGGGGGGTGCAGGGGGCCTTCCGATCCTGCTCAGCTCCATGGGAAACCCCCCCCCCCCCAGTCCTGGCTGACTCCCCCCAGCTTTACCCAGTGGGGTGGGGGTCGGTCCCCATCTTTTGGCTGCAGTGGGGAGCTGAGCACAGGCGGGGACGGACGCTGCCAGTGCCGGGGGGTGGCGGGGCCGAGGGGCGTCCTTGGGGCTGCCGGGGGGGGACCAGGCGGGGAGGGAATGACACAGCACCCGGAGAACGGGTGAATGACGCGGGTGCCAGCGGGTGCAGGACCAACGTGACCGAGGAGGGATGAAAATAGCCCTGGCGACATCAAAGGTAATTTGATTTCGGAGACGTGCCACTCGCCAGCCGCTTATCAGCCGCCACCAGCGCTGGAGGGGACGCGGGGCTGCCGCCAGCGCCACGTGCCTGGCAGGGCTGGGAGGAGCCCACGTGGCACCAGAAGCCTCGGGGAAACTGAGGCAGGGGAAACCATCCTCTCGGAAAACAACTGGGGACCCTTCGACTCGGCTGCCTGCCCTGTGCCACCGAAAGGGTGACACGCTGGGTGGCTTTTTGCCCATAGGAAGGTCAGCAGCTACGTCACTGGCAGCCATGTTCCCAGGGAATCACAGGGAGCTCCAGGAGCTGCAGCTTCACTCAGAGATGGGGAATTCACACGTGGGGGGTTGGCACAAGGCTCCGGGATCCCAAAGATCCTTGAGTGACACCAGGCTGGGAGCCCACGGGCTATATGGGGATGGCTGGCACCACTGTGTGTAATAATTATGGAAATCAAATATAATGTATTTATACATATTATAAATTGATATTACTCTATTCTAATAGAGCATTTGGAGGCAGAACCTGCCTGTGGCTGACAGGGATCCCCCTTCCCCCGGGCACCCACTATTCTTTATTCTTCACCAGCTGCTGCTTCCAAAAAGGAACGGGAGAGCAGAGGAAGGAAAAGCTCCAAAAATACCCGAGCTGACAGGAACAAACAATTACCCAGGGAACACGTGGCTTTCCTGGCTGTCATCTCTTGCCAGGGAGAAATCCTGCTGTCACCATCTGCGGGTGTGCTGCCCTCCCACCCATCAAAGGGTCCCCAAAGCTGGCACAGAGGTGGCAAGTCCTGGGGTGCCACCCTGGGGCTAAATTCAATTTGAGCTCCCAGGCAAGGACCTGAGGACAGTGTGACACTCATCTGACATCAACAAATTGGGATCTTCCCAGGCTGGAGTGATCTGGCTCCTCTCAGGGAATGTTGACCCTGTTGGGGAAATTGAGGCAGGAGGCAGCTGGCAGAGATTGGACTGGGAACGGCATGAAAACTGGGCTGGGCTTGTTTGTCTGTCCACCCCTCTGCCTGTCCACACATCCCTCTGTCCATCCATCCTGCTGTCTGTCCACTTACTCCTCTCTCCACCCACCCATCCCTCCATCCATCCACCCATCTCACTCTCATCCATCTTGCTGTCCATCCATCCACCCACCCCTCTGCCCATCCACCCACCCCTCTGTCCATTTTCCTGTCTCCATTCACCCATCCTTCTGTCTATCCATCCATTCACCTGTCTGTCCACCCACACACCCCACCACCCACCATGTGTCCATCTCCTGTGTGTCCACCCCTATCTGTCCCTTCACCTCTCTCCATCCACTCCCCTATCTGTCCATCCACCCCTGCCTCTGCCTGTCCACCCCACTGTCCTGGGGGCACTTACTGATCTTTCCACACACCCATCCCTATGTCCATTCCTCCATTCATCTATATGTCCATCCCTCTGTCCTTCATCCAACCCTCTGTCCAATTCTCTGTCCTTCCTTCCATCCATCCATCCATCCATCCATCCATCCATCCATCCATCCATCCATCCATCCCTCTGTCTATCCTTCCATCTGTCCGTCCATCCATCCATCCATCCATCCATCCATCCATCCATCCATCCATCCACCCACCCACCCGTCTGTCCTTCCATCCACCCCTGTCTGTCCTTCCATCCACCCCTCTGTCCTTCTTCTCCCTCTGTCCCTGCACCCCTCTGTCAGTCCATCCACCCACCCCTCAGCCTCCGTGATCACGTCTCCCATCCCCTTCATCCATCTGTCCCTCCGTCTCTCCATCTGTCTCTCCGGATGCCCGTCCGCCCGCCTGTCCATCTGTCCATCTGCCTCCTGCCACTCCAGACACCCCCTCCTGTCCCCCACTCACCCCACACTCCCAGGTCACTCCAGTGCCTGTCATGCAGGGACACCCCCTGGCACAAAGCCCCCAGGAGGGGCAGGGAAAGCCTGGGGGAGGCTCTGGGGTGGCACTCCTGTCCCCGGAACCCCCAAAAATAGCACAAGAAGCGTGACCAGCCAGTGATGATGGGGCACTGGGGGAAGCCTGAACCCACTCAGAGCTGTTTCTCAGCAGCCACCCCCAGCGCCACCTAGGGTGTCACACATGTGACAGTCCTTTATGTGGGAGTGCCTACCCTGCCAAAGGAGAGTACCCGAAATCTGGGGCTGGCTGGGGGGGCACATAGGGGCATGCCAGCTGTGGCACTGCCACGAGAGAGGGGGCTGTGACAGCACCTAAAGGACAAGAACATTTCAGGAGGTGGAAGGGGGCACAGCTCCCATCCTGATGAACTCAGGCAGCACTGGGAGAGTCCCCATTTTCCTCCAGATTTTGCCTGGGGTGGGGAATCCCAGACACTCTATGCCCACCTTGTCCTGCTGTCACTCTGCCTCCTCCATCCTATGACCCCAAGACACACAAGTGCTACCCCCTCCCCATCAGGATGTCACAGGGCCTTGAGAAGGGGGTAAAGGGACCCCCTCCTGACTTCTGTTCCTCCGCTTACTGAGCATTCATCCAGACTGATCAGCAAGGCTGAAGCCAAGCCAGCAGGACTCACCTGTGCACTCAGCTAGGCAGGGCTCAGTGTGCTGGCTGCAGGGACCTGTACACTCCTCCCAGTTCATCCCAGTATGGGGTGACCAGCCCCAGATCCCCTAATTGGGCACACACCAGCACCAGACCCCCAGGTTCCCACCCTGACCCGCCCCCCCCCCCCAGATGCCCTGACTCCCAACACCACCACCATGCCCGGCTGTATTCAGGAGCACAGGGGGCTGCAGGAGGTGGGGCTGGGGCTTGGGCTGTCACTTGAGGGGGGTATTTAGAGGTTCACAGAGGGAAGTGGGGAGAATGTGGGATTTGGGGTGCATGGGGTCTGTTTGGGGGAGTAAGATACATAGATGGGGATGGATGATGTTTGGGAGTGGAGGAATTTTAGGGGTCGGGGGTTCTTGAGGGTGTAATTAGGCAGTTTGGGATCGATGTGGGGTGTATGGGGTGTTTTTGATGAGGGGGTGTTTGGGAATGCAGAGGGCTGTGTCCGCAGGATGTGCCGGAGGATAGGCGTGAGGGGTGGGGTCCTAGGGGCTTGGGGTGTATGGTGAGAGATGTGATGGTGGGGGTATACGGGCAGGGGTGTTTGGGGGGTGAGTACGTGGAGGTCTGCACTTGAGGGGGGTGTGGGAAGAGACGTGGGGGGGAAGGGTGGGAAGAAGGGGGCCCCGAGGGGGCGGGAAGCTGGAGAGGGACAGACAGGAGCGGCTGGGGTGGGCAGCGAGGGAGGAGCCCCCTCCTCACGGCGGGGGAGGGCTACGGAGGGAGCCCGGGGGGACTTTATAGGGGAGGGTCTTCCCTCCCCGGCAGTGGGAAGTTATGGGGGCAGCTCCCTCCCCACAACAGTGGCAGTTTGTGAGGGAAGCCCAGGGGTTGTTACAGGGGGAGCCCCCTTCCCACGGCGGGGCGGAAGCCAGGGAGGCTTACTGGGTCCCCATGGGGCGGGGGAAGGCGCGGACGGAGCCCCGTCCCTCCCGGAGGGGGTTTGGGGTCAGGGTCGGGGGGATCCCGGGGGGTTCCGGGGGGATCCCAGTGCGGGCAGGGCGCGCCCACACCCCCGTCCCTGCCCCACCCCCACTCCCGGCTCCCGCGCCGCGCGCGCGCCCCCGCCGGTTCATTCATAAATCCACGCGCCGGGTGCTTGTGAATGGAGCCGTTCCCACGACCCCCCCCACCACCGCCTCACTGCTGCCCACAGTGCCCTCAGCCCCTCAGCCCCTCAGCCCCGCGCTCCCCGCTCCCTGCCCCGAGCACAGCGGCTGCGGGACGCGCCCCCCGCCCGGCCCGTGCCCTGTGCCCTGTGCCCCGCTACCTCCGACGCAGAGCAGCGACATGGCGGCGGAGTGGGTGCCGGGGGGCGCGGGGGGCCCTGGCCGCCGCCCGGCTCTAGCGCGCCGCCATCTTCCCTCAGCACCGCGGACAGCGCCTGACGTCACCCCCGCCCCCGCCCGCGCGGCACCGCCCCCCGAGCCCCCCCGGTGCCGGTGCCGGTGCCGGTGTCGGGGGCGAGGCGGGGCTGGCGGCCCGGCGGGGCTGCGGGGGCACGGAGCGGAGGGGCCGAGCGGGGTCCGACACACTCGCACCGCCCGGCGGAAGGGGCGGAGGGTCCTGCCCAAACAGGGGGGACGGTGCTGTGCGGGGGTGCGGTCTGTCTGGCTCCTACAGCCTTGGGGGGCTGTCGTGCCCTCCTTTCCCTGGGAGGGTGGGGTCTGTCTGGTTTGTACAGCTGGAGTGGGGGGAGCTGTGTCCTGCCTGCACAGCCTTAAAGGGGGGGTGGTTTTGGGGTGCAGAATTTACCTCACACGCCCCCTCTCCCCCAGGCATGGCCCCCTCGGGCTGCGCTGTGCATGTTCAGAATGGGTCTGAGCAGGGGCGGGCACACCGTCGTTGTCAACCCCCATTGTTGTCTCCTCTCGGCCACCAAATGTGACATCGCAAAGAAATGCTCAGATCTGGGCAGTGATCCCACTCAGGGGCTGCAGGAGCTTCCGTGGTCCCAGACAAGGACCAGCATCCAGCTCCAGATGCTGGCCCTCATGGAAGGGTGAGAGTAAAGCAGAGACCTCCACCTCTGTCACTGGGGACATGAGCTCAGACAGGGCTCCATCCTGTCCCCATCTGCCTCCTCTTGCCATGGAGCCAGGGATGGGCTCACACTCCCATCCTGCTGAGCCTGGTGGCTCTGTGGCACGAGCAAAGGTGTCACCACGTTACTCCCATGGGATCACTGCATCTTGCAGGGACCAGCAGAAAGTGGCGTCAGGAACACCAGGGGGAAAAAAGATGCCAAGGGAAGCTGAGGCACAGAACAGCAAGGGAAGATGTGCACCCAAGGGTGTCTGTGGGAGTGAGTGCCCTAGCCTGACCCTGCACACTGATCCCTCATCACTAATGAGTGGTCCCAAAGGATCAGCAGGGCCTGACCCTCCCAAGGCAGTCCCAGGCCTGGGATGGGTCAGCCCCTTGACAGTGCAGTACTGGAGCCACTGGTGGCAGGAGCCATGGAAGCTGGACATCCATGTGTGCCCTCACACACCTGCACACACCCTGTCCCCACACACGTGCCCACAGAGCCCCGTGAGGTGACAGCCCAGGCAGGGTGATCCAGCGCGGGCAGCAGGGAGACCCATGGAGCCAGGCTGTGAGCAGCCCCACTGCCATCTCCCTCCCTTCTCCAGGCATAGCCCCACTGCCATCTCCCTCCATTCTCCAGGGATAGGGCCCTGGGGGACACTGCGGAGTGCGGGGATGCCCCAGGACCTGGTATGGTGGGCAGCAATGGACAGAGCCCTTCCTGCCAGGGAAACTGAGGCAGAGAGAGCTGGGCTTTGCACCAATGACAAGCCAGAGGGGGCAGGATCACCCTGGGCAGTGTTGAGATGCCAAGGCAGGCCCACCAGGTCCTCAGGCTGCAAGAGAAGGCTCAGCCCCAGCCCCTTCCCCACCACATCCATTCTCCTGTCTCTCTGCTTCCCAACAGCCCTGCCCCAGGAATGGCAGAGTGGACCCATGCCAGGGTGGGTGTCAGCACTGAGGCTGCCTCCCTCTCACCCTCACTCTGGGGGACTCTCACCCCTTCTGCCCCCCCATTGCCTGTCAAAGCACTTCCTGACCCCCATGAATTCCGAGTGATGCCCCTGGCGATGGACCAGAGCTGTGACGCACTCCTAGCTCAGGCACATTGCATTTCCACAGCACCCACCCTCACAACCACCATCCTGTCATGAGGTTCGGGGTCCCCCCAGACACCCCCAGCGCCCTTCCCCACAGCCAGGGATGTGCCAGAGGCTCTTCTCAACCCCACCAAGGCCTCTTAATGTATTTTTGGGTGCTGTTTCATGGCATCTCCTCCCTGCTTCTGCCAGCGCCACAGCCCTGGGGCAGCAGAGCTGTCTCTAGCAGGATTTGTCTGCTCCACTCACCATCAGCTCATTGCCCGCGTGTGCTGGCACACGTGTGACACAGACACACACACTCGTGTCACACACACTCATGTCACACACATGCAACCATATCACACACACCCATGTCACACACACACTCGTGTCACACACCCATGTCACACACCCATGTCACACACACTCTTGCCTGCTTGTGCTCACACATCAGTGCATGCATGCACACTCACATTATCACATACCTCTTTAAAGCCACCTTTTTCAAGCCAAACAGCAATTCTGGAAAATTTTAAACAGGAATATTTTGCTCATTCAGCTCAATCCGTCTGACACCCCCACCCGCCAGCACCCACTGCTGCCCCATGCCACCCTCCTGCCTTGGTACCCAGCTTCGAGCTGCAACCATGGCTCATCTTTGGGTCTATTTTCTGCCCCATACCCTTGTTTGGATAAAGAAGTCTAATTGGAAAGGAAAGTGTTCATGAGAAGCTCCAGAGTTCCTTTCCCAAGAAAAGTCCTGGCTTTTGATCAAAAATAAGGATTAAAAAAATGGTATTTAGAAAAAAAAAATCAGGAAGTAATCTCTCTGCCTTGAAATAAATTATTTCCAGGAGTTGAATTCCTGCAACCTGCCCCTCATGCTGCTTCCCTTCCCACACAGCCATCTCACCCATCCCAAAATCCTTTGGCACTGTCTCTGTGGCGGTGCCAAAGCCTCCTGGGCCCCAGGCAGCAGGATGGCTCCACCCCAGAAGCTTGTCTGAATATCCCCAAATGTCATCAAGTCTCCAGCTCAGCATAAACTCAATTTCTCCGGTGACTCCTCGGCCTTAAAAGCCAAAAAAAAGCGCCCCAAACCACCTAAAAACTTTTCTCAAATCCCTGAAGCAAAACCCTGGGGTTGGAAACTCTGCAGGCAGCAGGCAGGAGGGCAAGGGGCAGAGGAGGAACAGGAGGCATAGGGGGAAGGCAGGGCACCCAGCAGGGACCAGTTTGTCCCAGTAGGCAGCACTGGGAAGGATCTGGTTGTCCCAGAGAATAAGAAAGCCAGAGACAGCTGTTCATCCACACACGGGGGTGGTCAGTCCACAACCCCCAAACTCCAAATCAAATCACAATTCCCAGGAGAACGGATGGTAAATGGACACGGTGACATGGACAACTGAGAGCACTGAGCACTCACTGGGGTCAGAATTCCCTGTGGCAAAGCCCCAAATCCAGGATGGCTCTTCCCTGTATGGGGAGCAGGGAGCAGTCTCAGAGGGAAGGGGACAGATGTGACCCCCACTGGAATCCTTTGGGCAACCCCACAGAGCACGTGGAAACAGTGGGTCCAGAGGGATGTCACCCCTGAGGCACTTCTGACCTCCTTGGGCCAGGTCATGATGGGACCGGGGTGACAGGGCCAGGAATCCCCAGTGACCAGATCCTGCCCCCACACTGGAAGCAGAGATCAGCCCCCACAGCCCTGCTGGTGGCCGGCTCCCCCAGGTCCTCAAGTGACATTCCCACACACCCCCTTTGCATCCCTGAGTTTCTACAGAGCCAGAGGGGAGAAGAAAGGAGAAGGAAGGGGAAGGGGAAGGGGAAGGGGAAGGGGAAGGGGAAGGGGAAGGGGAAGGGGAAGGGGAAGAGGAAGAATCCCCCCCATCTGAGCACATGTGTGTTGAGGGACACAGGACAACTCTGGAACAGGTGACATGGGAGCTACCATGCTGGACATGCTGGGGTCCCTGGAATGGGCTGTAGGTGGTACCTGCAGCAGCTGCTTCCCTGGGCAGACAAAGCCAAAGCAACTCCCAAGACCCAGCACATCCCTTTGCTGTCCCACCCACCAGAGTCCCTCTGTCCCGCTGACGTGGGTACTGTCCCTCTGGCATGTCCAGCCGCTGGCACAGCCTCTGCCCGGCAGTGACCACCCACCAGCCCACCCAGAGCAGCCGACCCGCCTCCCCAGGGGCAGCCCAGCAGCTCCCGGACCGGGATTATTCCTTGCCTCCATCCAGCTGCTTTTCTGCAGGTCTGGGTGCTTTTTGAGGGAAAAAGGATCAGTGATGGCCCTGGGAGCAGGGCATCATGCCAGCCACCCCCCGGAGTAGCCAGTGGGGATGGAGGGAGCAGGCATGGCAGCAGCACCGGCAGCCGGGGGCTCAGTGAGGTGGCAGCTCTGCTACGACGTGAGGGCCAAGACCTGGTGGATGGTGAGTGAGGGGTGCAGGGGCAGCTCCTGGCTGTTCGATTTTGGAGGGGGGAAGCTGATCGTGGACAAAAGAGGGACTTGGGGCCAAGGACAGGAAAGTTGTGCCATGGCCCTGGCTGGGACCAAGGCAGGGAGGGAGGGTCAGGGTGGAACCCACTGACCCACGGGTGCTCAGTGGTTATCCTGCTGTTTCGAGGGCTTGGATTTCTATCGTTTCCCACTGATCCCAGCCTTGCCCTGGGTCCCAACCTGACTGTCCTTGCCCCAGCTCACTCCAGGTGCTTTTGTCACATGTTTTTTGGAGAAATCTTTGCTGCTAGCAAGAAACAGCATCTCCCTGCTTGGCAGTTAAGGTCTCTGCTGGTGTGAGCCTCATCCCACCTCTGCCAGCCCCATCCCTTCCCTTCAGCTCCTGAACTTGAGATGGCACCAGCAAGGGGGCTTGGGTGTTTGTCTGTCCATCCCCCAGCACCTGCTCTGGCCCAAGACAGGGGCTGTGAATTGCCTTAAACCGGATTTAAGACTACTTTGGACATAACCTCAAACTGGTTTTGGGAAGCAGAGAAACCTCTCTGCAGGTTCACAGCAAAATATTGAGCCAGGGGACGCAGTCCCCAGGCTCCCAAGAATCTATCACCTTTTGCAAGGGATCCCACAGCTCTCCCAGGACAGGATAACTGGGAAGCAGGTGGGCTGAGCAGATTTCTGCTAGGAAGTACTAGCCACTGCTACCACT